CCAACCCCCTGGCTTGCATTTGCTGTCACACCTCTGTGAGTGCCCTGCTTGCTTCCTGGTGTCAGCCACTATCTCTGGCTCGGCCCATCTTCCGTCCTCTACTGCTGACCCCCGAGCCTTTGGGGGAAGAGATGTGACAGAGATGCCTATTCAGGTCTGAGCACCCTAGGGTCTCACTCTCTGCACACTGACCGGTTGTGGGTGCGTGTTGGGGTCAGAGTCAACCCTGGTGTCTTCCTCAAGCTGCTCTACATCGCTTTAACGCTTCTCACAGTTATTCATTCCTTTATTTACGTGGCCGGGTGCACATGCCACAGTGTTAGGGTCAGGAGGCCAGAGACTATTTGTGGGAGTTGATTTTCTCCTTCTGCCACGTGGACTCCAATGATCAGAGTCAACTGAACTAGTCGTAATTTTTTGTCTTGTGACACCAGCCCTGGTCATTAGGTTTATTTTGGTTTGACTGGCAGCTTCCTAAACATTTCATTTAATGCCAGGGATGTGGGTGGGGCTCTCACATCTTCAGAGGGCTGCAGGGAAGGTGGTGAACTCCCTGGGAACCTTAGAATCAGAATCACTGCCTTCTGTCATTGTTGCCTTAGTGGGGAACTCCCCATGTGACACCTTAACGTCTTCACAAGTACGTGGAGGTTATCAGCCGAGATCACACACACACACACACACACACACACACACGCACGCACGCACGTGCACGCGTACACACGCACACACATTCGCACACAGACACATGCACACATGCACACGCACACGCACACGCACGCACGCGCACACACACACTCACACCAGTTGTCAGCCTACTCTTTAAACCTCCATCCCTCAATTCCGCCCCCTTCCACAAAAACCCAGTGCCCTTCCTAGCTAGATTCCACTCCTTCGAGGGCCCGAGCTCCACCCTACCCAGTGGGGACCTTCCCCCAGCAGAGAGCCTGTGCTCTGGGAACCAGAGAAGCAGGATGAACAACATGGATGCCAAACAGGTTCTGGGAAGTGAGGCCTGATGAAGAGAGGATCAGGGGAGCCCTTGTCTGTGACTGCCCACAAGGGCTCGCTGCCTCCGTAAATAAACAAATAAACATAAAAAAATGAAAAATGCACCTGCTGTGGGCCTGGTGGGCGCGGGCCTATAACCCCAGCACATGGGATGTGGAGGCGGGAGTTCAAAGTCATCCTTGGCTCCAACGGGAGTTTGAGGAGTTTTGGACGGCATGAGCCGACCCTAACACGGGGCTGGGGAGATAGCCTGTAGGTAAAGTGCTCGCCACACAAGCGTGGAGACGTGAGTTCAGTTCAGAATCCATGTAAAAAGGGAGCTGGGTGTGGTGTGTGCCGGCCTGTGAGCCCAGCACTGGGAAGGAAGAAACAGGTGGATACCTGAGACTCCCTGGCCAGCCAGCCTAGATTAACTGGTGGATTCTAGAAGAAATAAGGGGGACAACACCCTGGTTTCCACATACATGAGCATATGTGTGTATGTGCACTTCCTCTGAGCTCATGCGCACAAATGCACACACACACACACACACACACACACACACACACACACACACACGAGTAAATAGACGTCATAAAAATGTCTATCCAGTATGGTTGCGCACACCTTTAATCCCAGCGCTCTGGAAGCAGTGGATCTCTGTGAGTTCGAGGCCAGCCTGGTCTACATACACATGGAGTTTCCAGGCCAACCTGGACTACATAGTGAGTCCCTGTTTTTTTGTTTTTGTTTTTGTTTTTTTAAAGGGAATCTTTTTCAGTATTCTTGCCCCAAATTAGGATTAAACTCAGCTCCTGAGAAATGAAAAGTGAGAGGTTTTTAGCAGCAGAAGTTGCTGGAAGATGCCAACCGGAGCTTGCTCCAGGAGACCTGCTGAGTCCACGGAGTTTGTCCTGAGACTGCAGAAAGTCCTCTCTCTGATTAGGCCAGACTACGCCTGCTCACTGTGGCTTATCGGTGCCAGCATCCCACCCCGTGCAGACACTGGCAGATAAGGGCACTATCTCCCCTGGTGACTGCATTTCAAAGACAGAGAAACATTCTTAGTCAGAGGCCAATGGAAGATTCACCTTCCCTTCAAAGGGGCCGGGACAGAAATTGAAATCACAAGCTTTCGTGGGGCTGGAGAGATGACTCAATGGTTAAGAGCTCACACTGTGGCTGGGCGTGATGGTGGCGGCGCACGCCTTTAATTCCAGCACTTGGGAGGCAGAGGCAGATGAATCTGAGTTCGAGGCCAGCCTGGTCTACAGAGTGAGTTCCAGGACAGCCAGGGCTACACAGAGAAACTGTTTGTTTATCTCAAAAAACAAACAAACAAAGAACTCATACTGCTCTTGCAGAGGACCCAAGTTCAGTTCCCAGCTCCCACAACTGCCTGTAACTCCAGCTCCAGGGGATCTGGCGCCCTCTCTTGACCTCCTTTGGTATCTACACACATGTGGCTTAGGCTCACCCAAACAAATTAAAATAAATCTTAAAAAAAACACAAGGTCAGGCCTGGAGAGATGGCTCAGTGGTTAAGAACACTGCCTACTCTTCCAGAGGACCCTGGTTCGATTCCCAGCATCCCCATGGCAGCTCACAACTGTCTGTAATTCCAGTTCCAGGAGACTTGACACCCTCTTCTTGTCTCCAGACACTGAATGCACACAGTGCAAGTAAACACTCACCTACATTAAGTGAATGAATGACTGAATGAACAAATGAAACAAAAAACTACACAAAGCCTCGTATGTATATGTATATGGAGGGAGTGGAGGGTAGAGGGTATGGCATGTGTGATATATGTATGTGTGCATGTGGGCACACATGTATGTATGTATGTGTGTGTGTGTGTGTGTGTGTGTGTGTGTGTGTGTGTGTGCTTGTGGAAAAAGGCATCTGGAAGAGGTGGGGGCACCTCCTTTCATCTTATATCTTGAGTCAGGTCTCTCACTGAACCTGGACCTCACTCAGTCAGCTAGGTTGGCCGCTCTGCGAGCATCAGGGATCCCCCTGCCTCTGGCTGTCCGGCGCTGGGTCGCAGAACCAAGCTGCTGTGTCTTTTTAAAGCAAGTGCGTAGATGCTCGAGTTCATACCTGCACGGCGGCGGGCGCTTCATAGACCAGCCTGTCTCCCCAGCCCCATGCTTTTCGTTTTTGTTTGAGACAGAGTGCTCTGTGGTACAGGCTGGCTTTGAACTCCCTGGGTAGCCAGCATGACCTTAAATTCTCCTGCCTCCACCTGAGCCTTAGAATGATGGGCTGCGCCACTCCACCCCGCCCCTCCCCTTGGGACAGCTCCGCCTTCACCATCCCTGGAAGAGATGAAGGTGTCGGAACTGTCTGATTTGTCAGCCCCGCCCCCACCCTGCCTCGGTCACTAAGTCAGGAACTTTCCCAAACAAACCTTGGGCTCTCTATCAGATCTCCGTCAGTTTAAGTACAGGTATTGTGGAAGCAGGCGGGACTCCATTTACTTAATTAACATTTACCAGCACCTTCTGTGGGTACATCCTGTCTACTAGGGTGTCTCTCTTCACCTCTGAGCTTATCTGTGTGTCCACACTGACATCTGTCCACACCAGATTGTGTCTTCCTGTATCTCTTTTTAACTTAAAATTACTAATTCATCTCGACGGTGTGTGTGTGTGGTGTGGGAGGGTGTGTGCCTTGTCAGAGGACAACTGGTGGGCGTCGCCTCTCTCCTTCCACCATGTGGGTCATCAGCCTTGGCGGCAAGCACCTTGACCCGCTGAGCCATCTTGACAAGGCTTCTGTATCTATTTATTATTTATTTATTATTTCTTTAAGACAGTATCTCCCGTATCCCAGCCTGGCCTTGGTGACATCATGTCCAGTTTTATACAGTGCTGGGGCCCGAACGTGGGACTTCTTGAATGCCCGGCAAGTACTCTACCAGCTGAGCCACAGCCCTGACCTGTCATTCTGCTGCTCATGTGTGACCGTTTTTATTTCTCTCCCTCTCTTGATACTCACCCGCTCATCTACCAATTCATCCATCCATCCACCCACCCATCCACCCATCCACCCACTCATCCATCCACCCATCAACCCACTCATCCATCCATCCATCCATCCATCCACCCACCCATCCACTCATTCATCCATCCATCCACCCATCCATCCATCCATCCATCCATCCACCCATTCATCCATCCATCCATCCATCCACCCATCCATCCATCCATCCATCCACCCATCCATCCACCCATCCATCCATCCACCCATCCATTCATCCATCCATCCACCCATTCATCCATCCACCCATTCATCCACCCATCCATCCACCCATCCACCCATCCATCCACCCATTCATCCATCCATCCATCCACCCATTCATCCATCCATCCATCCATCCACCCAGTCATCCATCCATCCAGTCATCCGTTCATTGTCACAAACATCCCTGCTGCAGAGGTGTCCCCAGTCCAAGGTGAGAGAGAAACAGCAGCCCATTGTCCTGTGTGATCAGAAGAGTCAGGAGGGAGCGCAGCAGGAAGATGCTGGAGACTGAGGAGAGGCGGTAGAGTCAGGAGAAGAGGATGGCTGGGTGTCTCTCTAGCCTGGAGATTCGATCCTCGGATTCCAAGCCTGTGTCTGTGTGGGTGCTGGAGTGAAGGAGTGGGGGAAATCAGGAACCGGGGGGGTACCAACTGCAGACCAGCACAGAATGTAGAGCGGAGGATACAGACCAGCGAAGTACGAATCACCCACCCCCAAATACAGGTTCCAGGCCCCTAATGCCTTCCTCGGGGCCGAGAGCCTGAGTCCCCCCACCCCCTTATTCCAGTGGCCCCACCATGATTACCTAGAAGGAGGCAGCCCACGTGAAGGAGGGCGGAAGGGCGGGGTGGAGGAATCTGGAATCCTGGCCGGGCTGGGCGGCCAGGATGCCTGGGGATCAACAGGGAAAACCCGCCTGACGGCAAGTCAGAGTGGAAGGAGTTGTCCTCGGTGTCACATCTCAGCTCCGCAGGCTGCCATGGGCATCTCCAAGACCTTCCTGCTCGGCCTCCTTGGCATCGGGCTCTGCCTGACAGGTACCCACCTGAGCCGAGTCCAGTGGGAAGAGGGAACTGAGCCTGGATTCCTGGGTCTGAGGGAGGAGGGCTGGGCCTGGATCCCTGGGTCTGAGGGAGGAGGGCTGGGTCTGGACCCCTGGTCTGAGGGAGGAGGGCTGGGTCTGGATCCCTGGGTCTGAGGGAGGAGGGCTGGGTCTGGACCCCTGGTCTGAGGGAGGAGGGCTGGGTCTGGATCCCTGGGTCTGAGGGAGGAGGGCTGGGTCTGGACCCCTGGGTCTGAGGGAGGAGGGCTGGTCTGGACCCTTGGGTCTGAGGGAGGAGGGCTGGTCTGGACCCCTGGGTCTGAGGGAGGAGGGCTGGGCCTGGACCCCTGGGTCTGAGGGAGGAGGGCTGGTCTGGACCCCTGGGTCTGAGGGAGGAGGGCTGGTCTGGACCCCTGGGTCTGAGGGAGGAGGGCTGGGCCTGGACCCCCGGGTCTGAGGGAGGAGGGCTGCTGGGTCTGGACCCCTGGGTCTGAGGGAGGAGGGCTGGGCCTGGATCCCTGGGTCTGAGGGAGGAGGGCTGGGTCTGGACCCCTGGGTCTGAGGGAGGAGGGCTGGTCTGGACTCCTGGGTCTGAGGGAGGAGGGCTGGGTCTGGACCCCTGGGTCTGAGGGAGGAGGGCTGGTCTGGACCCCTGGGTCTGAGGGAGGAGGGCTGGTCTGGACCCCTGGGTCTGAGGGAGGAGGGCTGGGCCTGGACCCCTGGGTCTGAGGGAGGAGGGCTGGTCTGGACCCCTGGGTCTGAGGGAGGAGGGCTGGGCCTGGACCCCTGGGTCTGAGGGAGGAGGGCTGGGCCTGGACCCCTGGGTCTGAGGGAGGAGGGCTGGGCCTGGACCCCTGGGTCTGAGGGAGGAGGGCTGGGGTCTGGATCCCTGGGTCTGAGGGAGGAGGGCTGGGCCTGGACCCCTGGGTCTGAGGGAGGAGGGCTGGGGTCTGGACCCCTGGGTCTGAGGGAGGAGGGCTGGGCCTGGACTCCTGGGTCTGAGGGAGGAGAGCTGGGCCTGGACCCCTGGGTCTGAGGGAGGAGGGCTGGGGTCTGGATCCCTGGGTCTGAGGGAGGAGGGCTGGGCCTGGACCCCTGGGTCTGAGGGAGGAAGGCTGGGGTCTGGATCCCTGGGTCTGAGGGAGGAGGGCTGGGCCTGGACCCCTGAGTCTGAAGGAGGAGGGCTGGGCCTGGACCCTGGGTCTGAGGGAGGAGGGCTGAGCCTGGACCCCTGGGTCTGAGGGAGGAGGGCTGGGCCTGGACCCTGGGTCTGAGGGAGGAGGGCTGAGCCTGGACCCCTGGGTCTGAGGGAGGAGGGCTGGGCCTGGACCCTGGGTCTGAGGGAGGAGGGCTGAGCCTGGACCCCTGGGTCTGAGGGAGGAGGGCTGGGTCTGGACCCCTGGGTCTGAGGAGGAGGGCTGAGCCTGGACCCCTGTGTCTGAGGGAGGAGGGCTGGCCTGGACCCCTGGGTCTGAGGGAGGAGGGCTGGCCTGGACCCCTGGGTCTGAGGGAGGAGGGCTGGCCTGGACCCCTGGGTCTGAGGGAGGAGGGCTGACCTGGACTCCTGGGTCTGAGGGAGGAGGGCTGAGCCTGGACCCCTGGGTCTGAGGGAGGAGGGCTGGGTCTGGACCCCTGGGTCTGAGGGAGGAGGGCTGGGTCTGGACCCCTGAGTCTGAGGGAGGAGGGCTGGGTCTGGACCCCTCGGTCTGAGGGAGGAGGGCTGGGTCTGGACCCCTGTGTCTGAGGGAGGAGGGCTGCTGGGCCTGAACCCCTGGGTCTGAGGAAGGAGGGCTGGGGTCTGGATCCCTGGGTCTGAGGGAGGAGGGCTGGGGTCTGGATCCCTGGGTCTGAGGGAGGAGGGCTGGGGTCTGGATCCCTGGGTCTGAGGGAGGAGGGCTGGGGTCTGGATCCCTGGGTCTGAGGGAGGAGGGCTGGGATCTGGATCCCTGGGTCTGAGGGAGGAGGGATGGGCCTGGACCCCTGTCTGTGTCTGAGGGAGGAGGGCTGAGCCTGGACCCCTGTGTCTGAGGGAGGAGGGCTGCTGGGCCTGAACCCCTGGGTCTGAGGGAGGAGGGCTGGGCCTGGACCTCTGGGTCTGAGGGAGGAGGGCTGGGATCTGGATCCCTGGGTCTGAGGGAGGAGGGATGGGCCTGGACCCCTGAGTCTGAGGGAGGAGGGCTGGGTCTGGACCCCTGGGTCTGAGGGAGGAGGTCTGGGGTCTGGATCCCTGGGTCTGAGGGAAGGGGGCTGGGTCTGGATCTCTGGGTCTGAGGGAGGAGGGCTGGGTCTGGATCCCTGGGTCAGAGGGAGGAGGGCTGGGGTCTGGATCCCTGGGTCTGAGGGAGGAGGGCTGGGTCTGGATCCCTGGGTCAGAGGGAGGAGGGCTACAGGCTTGTCCTCTTGAATCTTGGGATGGTGGAGAGCATGTGTGCTTCCCTTCTCATCCCCTCTGCACCCCAAAATTGTCATCTCCTCTGACACTGGGTCTTCCTTCCTCTCTCTCCCAGCCCCTCATTGAAGGGATTTCTGGGGAGCAATCGGGGCTCTCCCTGGAGCCGGCAAGGACCTTAGCTCCATCTTTGGACCCTCTGTCATGCAGGACTTACTCACTTGAGCATGAATGGGTCCTGAGGGGAGAGTTAGGAAGATATTAAGCAAACCCTTCCCGCATGACGCTTAATTTGTGAGCCTCTGCTCACCACGGGACACAGTTTGGTGTCTGTACGTGTGCCTGTGTTAGCAACCTCGTGTGCTTCTCTGTACCAGATGTCAATATCTGTGTGCATGTGTGTGTGTGTGTGTGTGTGTGTGTGTGTGTGTGTGTGTGTGTGTACAGGCACTTGCACTTTGGGGCTGGCAAGATGGCTCCAAGGTGCTTGCCACCAAAGCCTGGCAATCCAAGTTTGATCCCTGGGACCTACGCCATGAGAAAAGAGAACTGACTCCTGAAACTGGTCCTCTGACCTCCGCATGTGCATTGGGTGGGGCACACTCATGCTCCCCCTCCACAGCACTATAAATAAAATGTAACAGAAAAAATTTTGAGACAGGGTCTCACTGTGTAACCCTGGCTGGCCTGAAGCTTTCAATGTAGACCAGGCTGGCCTCAAAGTCATAGAGATCCACCTGTCTCTGCCTCCTGAGTGCTGGGATTAAAGGCGTGCGCCACCGTGACCGACAACAATGTCAAATTTTTAAAGTTTTTGTATGGTGGTGCTGGACTGTAATCCTAACACCTGGCCAGCCTCAGCTGAATTGTGAGTTCTAGGCCAGGCTAAGCTACATGAGACTGTCTCAAAAAACAAAAAAACAAAAGAACAACAACAACAAAAAAATATTTCTTTGAAGGTTAGTTTCTCTCCTTCACTTTCTTTGAAAAGAAAAAAAGATGTGTGTGTAATTTTGCACACACATGTCCACTGTCGCTGTGGTACCTCTGTGGATTACATGTCTATATAATGTACCCATTGTGTGATTTTAAACTACTTTGATGGGATCATTTATTTTCCTCATTCGTTTTGCTGTGTGTATGTGTGCAGTGTGTATGCACATGTGTGTGGCGGTCTGAGGTTGACACCAGCATCTTCCTCCATCACTCTCCGCCAAGTCCAGGAAGAGTCTCATTTGAACCTAGTCCCCATTGTTGATCTAGTCCAGCTGGCTCGATTGTTCTGGGATCGACTCTCTCTGCCTCCCTCACACTAGGGTGACAGGTGGGCTGCCACGCCTGGGGTCGAACCCTAGCCCTCACACTAGAGGACAAGCTTTATCACCACCCCCAGCCAGCTTCCCAGTCTATGATGCCATTTCTTTCTTTTTTTTTTCAAAGATTTTTATTATTTATTTATGTATATGAGTGTTTTATCTGCATGTACAACTTCATGCCAGAAGTGGGCATCAGATCCCACTAGAGATGGCTGTGAGCCACCATGTGGTTGCTGGGAATTGAATTCAGAACCTCTGGAAGAACAGGCAGTGTTCTTAACCACTGAGCCATCTCTCCAGCCCGATTTCTTTCTTTTTTGTTTGTTTGTTTTGTTTTTCAAGACAGGGTTTCCCTGTGTAGCCCTGGCTGTCCTGGAACTCACTCTGTAGACCAGGCTGGCCTCAAACTCACAGAGACGCTCCTGCCTCTGCCTCCCGAGGGCTGGAACTAAAGGCGTGTGCCACCACCACCCAGCAGATGGTGTCATTTCTAACTGCATAATTGTGTTCTCTTTTGGTGCATGTGATTTTTCTCTCCCACAACTTTCAGCTTCTTTAAAAAAAAAAAAAGGGCCGGGCGGGTGGTGGCTCACGCCTTTAATCCCAGCACTCAGGAGGCAGAGCCAGGCGGATCTCTGTGAGTTCGAGGCCAGCCTGGACTACCAAGTGAGTTCCAGGAGAGGCGCAAAGCTACACAGAGAAACCCTGTCTCGAAAAACCAAAAAAATAAAAAAATAAAAATAAAAATTTATGTCTTCTCTCTCTCTCTCTCTCTCTCTCTCTCTCTCTCTCTCTCTCTCTCTCTCTCTCTCTCTCTCTCCCCCTCTCTCTCTCTCTCTCTCTCTGTGTGTGTGTGTGTGTGTGTGTGTGTGTGTGTGTGTGTCTACGTGTGCTGGCACATGCCACAGCTCCCATGTGGAGGTCAGAGGACAACTTGCAGGAGTTGATGCTCTCCTTCCATCATGTGGCTCCTGGGGCTCGAACTCAGATGGTCAGTTTTGGCGGCAAGCACTTTGCTGGCTGAGCCAACTTGCTGGCCCTCCCTCAGCTTCTGTGTCCCTTGGCCCTCTGTCATTGTTGTGACCCATGCAAAATCCAGACACCAGAGCTTGTGAGGGAGGTGGTCCCCCCCCTCTAAGTGGCTTTGTTGACACGTCTGTCCTTGTGGGGTCTTGGGGAACATGAGGCTGCATCCAGGCTGCTCTGCATGCATTTCCTAGGAGGTTTCCGACTGTGGGGTATAGACCGTTTGGGGGACGGGCAGAGCATGGAAATCACTTCAGCCCCTTATGCGAGGGACTGAGGTCTTTGAGGACCACGGTGGCACTGGGTGATGACACGGCTGTCTCATGGTGACATGAGACACAGCAGCCTGGTGTGTGTCTGTCCCATACTGTGTGGAGCCCCAGGTTCCCCCTGACCTGCTAACACACCCCACCCCTCTCCTAGGCTCCCAAGCCCTACAGTGCTACAGCTTCCAACACACCTACTTCGGGCCCTTCGACCTCAGCGCTGTGACACTTCCCAGTGTCTCCTGTCCTCAGGGGTGCTCTGAGGCGATGCTGTTGCTGGATACTGGTGAGGACCTGAGGGCTGCAAAGGCATGGGCAGCCCTTGAAATAAAGAGGAGACAGAGAGTGGAGGGAGGGAGAAGAGAGAGGAGAAGAGAAAAGAGAAGAGTGGGTGGAGATGGGGGAAGAGGAAGCGACGGCTGAGCATGGCGGTTCACGCCTGAGATCCTGGCACTCTGGAGGTAGATTCAGGAGCACTGCATGTTTGCAGCCAGCCTGGGCTACATGGCAAGACCTGGTCGGAGGGAAAGAGAGAAACAGGCATGATGGCACAAGTCTCTAATCCAAGCATTTCCAATCCTTGGAAGGCGGAGGCAGAAGGATCACAAGTTCAAGGTCATCCTTGGCTGCAGAGCAAGCTTTAGGCCAGCCCAGGGCTTGTACGAAACCCTGTCTCAGAAAAACAAACAAAACAGGGCTGGTGAGATGACTCAGTGGTGAAGAGCACTGGCCGCTCTTCTAGGGGGCCCAGGTTTGGTTTCCAGCACTTAGATCGCGGCTTGCAACCCGCTGTAACTCCAGTTCCAGGCGATCTAACGCCCTCTTCTGGCCTCTGTGAGCACTGCATGTGTGCTACATACAAACTGAAATTAAGGCAGAACGGAAGGAGGGAGGAGGCAAAAGTGAGTAAGAAACTGAGTGAGAGGAGACAAGCAGGAGGCGGGAGGGTGAGTTCATTCCAGGCCTGGTGCTCTCCCCAGGGTACCGCTCCCTGGTGACAATTGTCCGGAAGGGATGCTGGACCGGCCCCACCACCGGCCCCATGCAGTCCAACCAGGACGCGCTGCCTCCGGACTACGCGGTGGTCCGCGGCTGCGCAACAGACTTCTGCAACACCCAACTCAAGAACCACGATAGCCTCCCCAACCTGAGCCAAGGTGGGCCGGGGGGGCGGGGCTGGGGAGACGGGGCGGGGCTGGAGAGAGCGGGGCGGGGCTGGAGGGATGGGGGCGGGGCTGGAGGGATGGGGGCGGGCCTGGAGAGACGGGGGAGGGCGGGGGACAGGGGCTGGAGAGGTTAGGGGCGGGACTGGAGGGACGGGGGGAGGGACTTGAGGGGTGGGGCGGGGCTGGAGGTGAGGGGGAACTGGAAAGACGGGGAGGGGCTTGAGAGAGCGGGGCGGGGCTGAGGGAGAGGGCGGGGCTGGAGGGATGGGGGCGGGCCTGGAGAGACGGGGGAGGGAGGGGGGCAGGGCTGGAGAGGTTAGGGGCGGGACTGGAGGGACAGGGGGAGGGACTTGAGGGGTGGGGCGGGGCTGGAGGTGAGGGGCGGGACTGGAGGGATGGGGGCGGGACTGGAAAGACGGGGCAGGGCTTGAGAGACCAGGGGCGGGGCTTGCGAGATGGGGGCGTGGCTGCAGAGGACAGGGGCGGGGCTGGAGGGGCAGGGGCGGGGCTAGAGGTGAGGGCGGGACTGGAGAGGTCTGGGGCGGGGCCTCCGCCGGGCGCTACTCAGGCGGAAGGTTGCCAGACTCCTCTTCTGCGTGAGCAGTGGCAGTGCGCAGCCGGCACTGCTAGCCCGGAGCAACGGTCTAATCTATCTACTGTTTTCTCCAAGCACCGGACCCGCCGACGCTCAGTGGCACCGAGTGCTATGCCTGCTTGGGGACCCGCCCCGAAGACTGCTCCCCTGAGAGGTCCCGTCGAGTCCAGTGCCACCAGGACCAGAGCGTCTGTTTCCAGGGCAATGGCCAGATGAACATTGGTGAGGGGCTGGAGCAGTGGGATGGCCCGGGATAGAAATGTGGAGGCGCTGAAGGCCTGAGGGCAGAGGCACCGGAGAGGCATGTTCTCTGCGGCCTTGGTCTGAGGCAGGAGGCTCGGGTGTAGTTCATGGAAGAAGACGTGGCGGTGATTTAAAGGAGGCATGGCTCTGATCTAAGGGGAAAGGCCTGTTGTAGACTGAGAGAGGAGGCCTGCTGTATCGTGAAGGAGGGGGTGGGGCTCTGGTCTCGGGGAGGAGGCACGTCTGCACTCTGAGAGACCCCAGATGTGTCAGAGGATGCAGGCCTGCCCCTGCCTGCAAAGGCAGAGCTCCAGGGAGGCCCCTCCCGCGGCCTGACCCCTCCTCCCTGTCCACCCAGGCAACTTCTCGGTGCCCGTGTACATCCGGACCTGCCACCGGCCCTCCTGCACCACCATGGGCACCACCAGCCCCTGGACGTCCATCGACCTTCAGGGCTACTGCTGCGAGGGCCACCTCTGCAACAGGGACTCGGTGACACAGACCCTCCCCGGCGTCCCGTCCCCGGCCCCTCCCCGGGCTCCCCGAATCCTGACCCTGCTGCTTGTTGCTCCACTGCTGGCCATCGCTCTGGGGGGGTTCCTTGGGCTCACCGCATAGACAGCGCCTCCAGCATCGCCTCGCTTCTCATCACTCCAGCCCCTAGTGTGGGCCTCCCTTTTTAAAAATGGCGTCAAAATAAGAGCCTCACTCCTGTCCCTCCAGCCCCAACCTTCATCCCTCTACCCATCCTTCCTGGCCCCACTGGCCCCACCTCCTGAAGGCGCATTTATCTGGGAACTAATCAACGCATTGAGCGAGGCCCCTTAAAATCCACCCCTGCCCATCAGGCCTTCAACACGCGAGCCTTCTGTGATACCTCACAGCCAAATCACGCCACTCACCTTACAAACTCATTTCTCACAACGGTGGTGGCAATCCCAGCACCCAAGGGGCTGAGGCAGGAGGATCACTACTTCCAGGCCAAGCTGGACTACACTGCAAGTCTAGGTCCAGCCTTGAGCTACACTGTGAGACCCTGTCAGGCGGTGGTGGCGCACACCTTTAATCTCAGCACTCCAGAGGCAGATGCAGGTGGATCTTTGAGTTTGAGCTCAACCTGGTCTACATAGTGAGTTCCGGGACAGCCAAGACTACATAGTGAGACCCTATTTCAAAAGAAAGGAAGAGGAGAGAGAGAGAGAGAGAGAGAGAGAGAGAGAGAGAGAGAGAGAGAGAGAGAGAGAGAGAGAGAGAGAGCGCAAAACCCCTGCTTTTCAGTGTCTCTAAAGCAGAACTGGCATCCATACTACACCCCAGCAGTGCCACTCTTGGGTGTACCACCTCAACAGAAATTGGTTCATATGCTCCCCCAAACTATGTAGACTAGTAGGACAGTTCACAGTAGCCACAAACTGAAAACAACACAAATAAATATGAACAGCCGAATGACATGAGGAGGTTATGATCCAGTCACACAATGGAGTACTACACAGCAATGAAAAATGGCAGCTGATGGTTACCTGCCGTGGCCTTGGAAGAATCTCGCAAAAGTAGTGTTGAGCAAAACAGTGAAAACACACCGTAGAGCAGGTTATATGATTCCATTCAAAATAAAGTATAAATGTTGTTTAAAAACCAGTGTGTGCCATTAGCAGTCAGAAGAGTGATTATCTTTGGGGACAAGTGACCAGAAGAGGGAATATGAGGTGTTTGGAGGTCTAGACATTGAGTTATGGGATCTAAGAACTCACTGACGCATTTTTTGCACTTTTCACTAAACTTCCTGTTGTTTTGGAAAAAGGTCTCAAGTAGCCCAGGCTGGCCTCCAACTCATTGCATAGCCTAGGATGACCCTGAATTCCTGGTCCTCCTACCTCGACCTGTCAGATGCTGGGATGACAGATTCAAGCCATCATACCTGCCCTTTCTCATCTTTCCACATGTATATTATTTGCAATAAAAGGTTTTAAAAATATGCAAACTTCCTTGATGGGAAAGGGGCAGATGAGGGGGATGTGGGGGAACGACCAAGCCCACCCCTTTCTTAATATTATCTGTTTAAACTGAGCAGAGGGGAGAGTTCGAGTTCTGCCTTCTCACTCCAGCTTTGGAATTTGAGGCAGCACATTAAACAGCAAAGACTGAGCCAGATGAGGTGCGTGAACCTATAGCCCCACCCACTGGGAAGCCGACATAAGGGGATCTTGAGTTCAAGGTCAGCATGAAAACTTAGTGGGATTCTGTCTAAAAATCTAAAAATTAGCCGGGGGCGATGGCGTGAGCTCCTTTAATCCCAGCACTGGGGAGGCAGGGACAGGCGGATCTCTGTGGGTTTGAGGTCAGCCTGGTCTACAGAGGGAGTTCCAGGACAGTCAGGGCTATATGGAGAAACCTTTTCTTGAAAACCGGGGAAAAAAAAAAAAAGAGTGACCTGGGGAGAAAAGGGTTTATTTCATCTTACGGCCACCACTCATCAGCCCCAGGAATGGAGAAGTCACGGTGGCAAGAGCGGGTGGTGGCCGGTCACTTGGTGTCCATAGTCAGGAACCGGAGCAGTGGATGCTGATGCTCGGCTCACTCCCCCTTCTGCTCTGTGTGGACTGTGTCGCCTACAGTTAAGGCCGCCCTTCTCCTCTCAATTAACTCAACATGGAACCTCCCTCACAGATGTGCCCAGAAGTTTGTCTCCTAGGTGATTCTAGCTCCTGTCAGGTCGACAGTCACAGCCTTGGAGGGGACCAGGTCCTGAGGGATGAGTAGGAGTTCGCCAGTAGGGCGCGGTGGAAGGAGCATTCCAGCCTATGCTAAAGACTCACGAAGCACTCATTGGATGGCAAGAACACAGGGCAGGGTGGCAATAAGGAACTGAGGGGCAGGAAGAGGCATCCGGCAGCCATCTGGAACCTGTTCTTCTGGGCTGGTGTGTTCCTGGCCCCAGCAATTAGTCAGGCCCATCCTGCCCTCCTGATCTGGAAAGATACAGTCACAAACCTGCAGGCTCACGGTTGGAGAAACTGGGGTGTGAGTCAGATGTGGGAGGGGGCACAACCCTTATCCCAGCTCTCTAGAGGTGGAGGAAGGGAATCAGGAATTCACTGTCTACCTCTGATACATAATGTCTAGCCTGAGCTACATCCTCTGACCCACAATGTCTAGTGTGAGCTACATCCTCTGATCCACAATGTCTAGCCTGAGCTACGTAAGACCTTGTCTCAAAACAAAACAAACAAACGAAAGGAGTATGATCCAGTAAGGCAAGTCCAGACAGGAACCTGAGGGGACAGTTTTGATGGGCATGGATGTTGGAGAAGAAGCCTATGAGGCAAAGCAGTGAGAGAGGGGGTTTTAGGACCACTTGCGTAGAGCCAGGATAGGGCCAGGAAGATGGCTCAGTGAATAAAGATGCTTGCCACAAAATTCTAACGACCTGAGTTCGATCGCTGGATCTGACAAGGTGGAAGGAGAGAACAGACTCCCCAAAGTTGTCCTCTGACCTCCACACACGCGCCGTGTCACCTACACACATGCACCCACCTACACAGAAAAAAATAAATAAAATTTAGAAAATGAATTTAAAGAGTTGGGATGCATTATTATACGAAGATGAGGAAGATGAGTAAGGAAAGGGTGGGTTGGCCCTGAAGGGCCTAGAAATATCGTATGTCAACGAGCCTTCTCTGTTTCCTCCTACAGCCGGTGGAAGCCATGTTTCTAGAGGCAGAGAGGAGCATGGTGAAAGCCAAGATATACAACCAGGCCAGAGGCAGGGACAGAGGGCGGAGGCCAGTAAGGGCGGCTCTCTTCCAAGTCTCCAAGGCCAGGGACTGCTTAATGTTGAAGGCCAGGGGAGAAGGAAAGGCTGGGGAGGAGGTGCGGGTGTGAGAGCTAGGGGGTGGGAGCCAACTGCTCTTTGCTTGAACACAGGGTTCTCCTGTGGAGGGGGGGGAGGGCGGGTGTGATGCTAACAACCCTGCATGGGATCCTGCAGAAAGACTGTACCCTCTCGGAGTGGCGAAGGCTGGGGGTCCACTGGCTATTCTTATTCCAAAGTGGCCCTTTGTGTCTTTTTAAAACCAGTGGTGGCACACACCTTTCATCCCAGCACTCGGGAGGCAGAGGCAGGTGGATCTCTGTGAGTTCGAGGCCAGCCTGGTTTACAGTTAGTTCCAGGACAGCCAGGGCTGTGCAGAGAAATCCTGTCTTGAAAAAAAAATTTTTTTATTATAGTGTACATTTAATTAAAAAATACTTAACATCATTTCCCCCCTCCCTCTAGTCCCTTCTACCCCTCCCATGTCTTTCCCAAAATCACAGGGCCTCCTCTTCTTTCAACATCGTGGTTGCCTATACATATACATGAATAAATGTATAACTACAACCTTCCAAGTCCCTTCAGCGTTGCTGTGTTCATGCTTCCAGGGTTGACCACTTGGTATTGAGTAACCAGTCAGGGGGGGCCGTCCCTGGGAAAGTCAAGTCTCCTTTCCTGAGCAGCTGTTAGTCTCCAGTAGCAGGGGAACTTAGGAGATTCCCCCACCCATGTTAGGAGGTCTGTTCCATCCGCTGTTGAAAGTGTTCAGGTTTTATTTAGATAGCCACGCCATTGAGCTTTGTATCTCTTTTGAGACGAGGTCTCATGCAGCCCAGGCTGACCTCAAACTCAATATGTAGCTAAGGATGGCCTTGAACTCCTAACCCTCTTGCCTCTAGCTCCTGAGTGTGAATCTCTACACGTTGTGTGTTTTCTGCACATGCGACACGAGTCATTAAAAATGACATTGTCGGGGTTGGGGATTTAGCTCAGTGGTAGAGCACTTGCCTAGCAAGTGCAAGGCCCTGGGTTAAATAATAATAATATTGTCAAAATACTAATAGGGCCTGGAGAGATGGCTCGGCAATTGAGAGTGCTTGCTGCTGTCTCATAGGACCTAAGTTTGGTTCCCAGCACCCACATCAGCTTGCAACAGCGTGTAACTCCACCTCCAGGGGATCTGAGGCCCTCTTATGGCTGCTATAGGTACTGCAATCACAAGGACACATTAAAAAAATAAATCTTAAATAATAGCTACGTTAATGATGTCAGAGCCTACTGTGGTGGTGGACACCTGTAACCTCAAAGGCTGAGGCAAGGTCACCCATGAGCTTAAAGCAAGCCTAGGCTACACGACAAGACGATGTCTCAGAAAGGGAGTATCATGAGTTTGAGGCTAGCCTAAGCGACCTACTGTTATGGAATATTAGTTCAAGATGTGTTGCGTTCATTTATGCTGTGGAACATTTGTTTAATGATGCAAAGATGTGTTGTATTCTTTTATGTTGCGTTTGTTTAACTCTATAAAGCTGTGTTACTTTGCCCATCTAAAACACCTGATTGGTCTAATAAAGAACTGAATGGCCAATAGCAAGGCAGGAGAAAGGACAGGTGGGGCTGGCAGG